GCGATAAACTTGGCTGGAACTGAGGTATTCATGACTGCTGTTCGCGACTCGTTCCAAAAGTAATATTGAATTAACATCCAGAATGGCGACACTGACGGCCAGCCTAACGCTCAAGACACTGAGCCTATTCGTGATACACCGGTACCAGCGGGTGACGACGACATGAATATTGACGACGACGGTCCTCTATTAAAGAAAGGCTTTCTTGCTCGACTACAGGAGCAGGAACAGACGCTTCTTGACGACTACACCGGCCTGGGCTACGATGAATTCGACGATACCAAAGGCCCCGACGCGTACCTCGGCTGGCCTGCTCAATTCGGCCGCCCTCTTGACGACAAAGTACATTCATCCCCGCCTCCTTCCAACCTTCCGTCGCCACACGCTTCTCCCTCTCCCTCTCCCTCTCCCTCGCCACAGGGCTCCCCTCGCACCCTCCGCAAACGCGATGCTCGTGCGCCGCTTGAAGACGGGCTTGAATCCGACCTCCCCGTCAGCGATAACGACTACGCCCAAACAAAAGCGGCAGCCGATCTCAAACGAAAGAATTGCCTTCGGCAGGGTTTCTCCGCTGAACCAAGCACATCAGACGAAGATAGAGAGGATTCTTCGGAGGAGGAGGCGTCTGGGAAGCGCGGTAAGAAAGCGAGTAAGAAAGCGGGGAAGAAGGGAAAGGTGGCACCAGCGGCACGGGAGAACGGGAAGGACAAGGCGGTGGCAAAGAGCAAGGGCAAGGCCGCCGCGCATTCTAGCGCCAAGGCATCAGCTGCCGAGCGTCGACGCGGCGTTGTCCCCGACATCGACGATTCCGACTCTGACGAGCCTGACGTCGATGAGGACAGCGATGAGGACGGAGATGATGAGTCTGAAGTGCCGCGTAAGCCACGCACCACTCGTTACAAACCCGGTCCCCTCCCCGCCAGCGCCATTGAGGAGTTGGAAGTGCTTCGCGAGAAGGTGATGAAGGACGTGGATGAGATCGCAGCGAAGCACGGGAAAGATCCCAGTATGGTGTTCCGTGCGCTGGGCATCGTCGTCGACTCTGGAATAGCCGGGCGCAGCACCAGCGTGTGGAATATGTGGCAGCAGTATTGGGCTGAGAACGGGCCGAAGGGGGAGAGAGGTATGCATGGTCGTGTGTCATATTTCATCTCGCATGATTTGACTTTGCTTGCAGCGACGCAGGCGGGCTTACTAGAAAGACTTGGAGCCGACTTCCCCAAAAATCAGATCAACGACAAAGAAGCTGTATTCAAGCGATTCCCCGGTCTGCGCGAGTGGCACGAAAACACCATGAAGACGGCTATAGCTCAATTGGCAGAGAACGGGAAGCTGAAGGGGAAGATCAGGCAGGCTATAAAGCCGATGACGACAATTGTAATGTTTTCTTCGAGCTTTACAACGAACGCTGATCGTTTCTTTGTTACCAGGCCCGACACACGCACGACGCATTCAAAGTAACAGTATTTGGTTTCGTCGTCGATCCCCTTCACCACAACAGCTTCATGTTTGGATCCGGAGACGCTTACAAAGAACTGCGCAGGGTGCGCCAGTCGAATTTGGCACAGGATTGCGCTGAGTATGAACATCTCATCGGGTGAGGTTTCTTTCCATTCGCATCTCATCTGATTAACAATATTGTAGAGTGATTGAGATGAAGGAGCGTGGGTTGATCACCGGCGGCTTGCCCGCGAAAAGCCTTGCTCGTCGTGAGGCTGAGGCCTCGCGCGACGCTGCTCGAAGGCAGTTTTCGAGCATCTTAGCTGCTCAGCTCTGTATGTTTCGTTGCCGCTCTTATTTGCGTCACCACTAACATACTATTCACCAGATCAACGGTATCAGGATGCCGAGATCGACGTTGGCGACCTCGAAAACTTCAGGATGACTTGGGGCCCCAAGTTGATCGACGTCGCTCTCCAGCTTCAGTGCAAAATCGTCAACTTCCCCGCCGCGCTCGTCGACGCGAAGATGATCATCGGCACGCAAGGCTTCAAACTTAAGGATATCAAAGCCTCGACGTTCGAGAAGTTCTTACCGGACCTCATCAAGGCGAGTAAGCCCCAAACCGGCGACGATGACGAAGACTTGGCAACGACGGTGATGGCCATTGAGCCTTGGACCGAGGGTTCGTACATCTTGATTGTTTCCGTGTTGCTTAAAACTAACAGATTTGATTCAGAGGAAATAGCGACACCATTCGAAGACCAGGGCAACATCGCAGTTGTCGTGAATTGCGACAACCGCGGGTTGGTCTTCGTGAAGAACAGCGACAAGTACCACAAGCAGATCAAGGACCGGGCGGACAAGGCCGAGAAAGTGGCTCGCAAAGCAGAGAAGAAGCAGAAGGGGAAGAGCAAGGAGGTCCCTCCGCCTCGGAGTCCCTCCGCTGCTCGTCGGTCGCGCTCGCATTCTCTCGATCGTGGGCGAGATCATGCACCGGCCCTTCGCGCTGTTTCCCCGCGCCATGACGCGTACGGCGGCTCCCGTGGTCGTTCACATGTCACCGAGCACCGCCGGCGTGACTCTCGCTCGCGTTCCCCACGCCGCCACTCACCACGCGGATATCGTAACTACTCCCGCTCCAGATCGCCTTCCCGCGCATACCCGACATACTCACGCCGTTCTGCGTCCCCACGAAACTACCGGTCGCCATCGCGCCGTCACGACTATCAATCTCGGCGTCGTTCGCGATCCCGCGGCTCAGCGGCAGAAGGCCAACCACAACCGCTCGACTTCCAGCGGCCAGCACGGGGCAATCAAGCGTCCTCACGGCTCGATGTTGTTGAGGACCCCCGCGGTAAGCGCAAGGCATCAGCCGAGGCAGACCCAGAGAAAATGGCAAAACACTTGCGAAAGGGCCCTGTAGAAGGGGATCAAGAGTTACTTGAGCGGCACGAACCCGTCACCTGTCGGTTTAGATTCAAGAACGAGAACGGTGAAACCGTCGAAAGCCCGCATTTCTATGCCAGGGGCTTGTTACCGATACCCCAGCAAACCACGGCGGACAACGTTACTTATATGTTAGTTCTGGGTCAGTGGAAGAAAATCCCACCTGGGTTCACGGTTAGTTTAGTGGATACGCAAGCGGTAGATAACTATCGACGATTTGTCGACTTGTACGCGCTTTGAGACAGGAACTAACTCGTAGTTATGTACTATACTATCAATGGAATTTCATACAAATCTTTGCTCTATTTGGTTGCTATGACTCGAACTCAGTTAGCGCGAAATTGAGATGAGAAAAAGGCAGAAAGAGCGCGAAGAACGCGGTCACGTGATCGCGTCAACCGGACCGACTCGTAACCGACTTAATTTTCAAAAAGTCTGAGCAACGCGGTCACGTGACCGCGTTCCTCGGACCGACCCACCGGTGATTGACGGAATATGTCAATATAATGCGCTTTGACCGCGCAGCCGTTCGGTTGGGAGAGGGGCGGTATTGATTGGCGGCTGGGCTCGCCTTTACATTGTCTTTTATTTGTTACTGACTTGAACAATTATTAGCTAAGTATTGCAAGCCAAACGCAGCCGAACGTGGAGCTAATCAAATCGAGGTAACTAGCTACGAATTGGTTTACATATTTACTGATCTACTATATCACGTAGAAGACGGGTTACAGTACGTGCTTTGCGCCAACCGCCGATTCCCTGAATCGCAAACTTCTCCCGATGGCGCACTTTGCAAGAAGGGGACGGGCACGGATAAGGAATTATCCAGCAGTCATTCGTTTTGAGGAATTTGTGAAGGACGCGCTCTGGAAAATAAGCCGAGGGATATGGAGATTAAGGTGAGTGACATACCTAATTTTTTGGCGTATTTCGTCGGCGTTACGTCCAGCAGTTCAAAATCGCAACCGGGGCATTGCTTGCGCCATTCGTCAAGGCGGCGCTCCGCGTCGTTGGTCCGGCCCGCCTTGTATTCCTCAACACCGTTGGGCTGGAGCATCTTGTACCAGTAAACAACCCCAGGGCCATCGGAGGCAGAGGGCTTGGCGTCGATGGCGGTATGTACGCCGTGTCGGGTGTAAGGTTTGTTGTATCTGGTAGACGAGTCGTGCAGGAGGCGATCGACGCGGGCTGAACAGAGGTAAAAATGCGTTTCTGTAATTTTTACTAAAGAGACTTACCTAGTTTCAAGGCTTTGCCCATGAGGAGAGGACAGTCGGCGCGGGAAACCGACGACGTTGAGCGAAGAGCGGCGGAGGCGCGGGAAGCGGAAAGCCGACGAGTGAGGGTTGAAGAAAGCGGGATGTATGCGTCGATGTGCACGCGTATGCGTCCGCTTGACAGAGTTGGTGTCGGAACGGGAAGGCGGCGTTGGCAAGAGTGTGTGCGCGCGTATGCGCGTGATGTGGTGAGGCGCGTGCGAGAAACAAACGCGGGAGAGCGGCGGGCGCGCGGGCAGCCAACGACGGCGCGGGAAGTCGACGAATTCGGCTGGCGCTGGACTGGTCTGTGGGTGGGAGGAAAACAAACGCGAAGGTGGGCGTTGGGAACAACGCTGATGGGCGCTCGAGAACGAGGAGCGGGAGGCGACGGGCGACAGCGGCGCAAAAGCAATGAGCGGGATACGGCGGGGGAATGCGGCGCGTAGACAAGCTACACGGGCGCGGAGTGGTGAGCTGCAGCGGGTAGCGGGTTGCGTCGGCGCGCGGGAGAGGCGCGTGAGGAGGGAGCGGTGAGGGCGGCGAATAGAGTGGTCTGCGCGTGAGTTTGTGCGCGTATGCGTCAGATGCGCCGCGATGAGCCAAAGTTAGCGCCGCCTCTGAGAAATGCATTTGATTCCTCTTGATATTTACACAGGTCTCTACGTATGTACTGCATACAATACTGTGACTACGCAGAGTAAATCTGTATATAGAGCGCGTAGTATGAAATTTATTCCGAGACTGGACATTAGTATAATAAATCACGTGACCGCGTTTGGGACTCGAGAAAAAACTTACAAGTCTTAAGCGCCCGGGCGCTTAAGTAAGGAAAAAGTGGCCAATACATGGATATGGCTGACGCGGGAATCGAACCCGCAGGCTTCAGCCTGATGGCACTGAAAGTGACAAAGCCGTTACCTCTCGACCAAGCAGCCTTGATTAAAGAATAAAATAGTATAGTTATGTGCACCACTATATGGGACTTCCCACATGTTAAAATAAGTCAACTGGGAACTCCCATACAATGTGTGGGAACTCCCACTCGGTGAAGGTGGGACATCCCAGAGATTGACCTCTGGAGTGGGACGTCCCATATGATATAAGGGATGTCCCACATAAATGAGGTGGGACTTCCCGCTGTAATGGGATGTCCCATAGTTCGAATAGGGATGTCCCACGTAAACAAGGCGGGATTTCCCATTGCGATGGGATGTCCCGTACTTTTATATGGGATGTCCCTTACAATATAATGGGACTCCCAGTTGCATGGGATGTCCCAGCCGAACATCTCATGCATCATGGGAGTTCCCAAACCGAATGCGATGAGCAAACAACAAGCTAGGATTTCTCTCGTATTGTAGCTGCTACGTAGTACAATAATACAATGATTTCCTCTGACGTGTTGCGGGATGCATACTACAGTTATCACGTCCTAAGGTGATGGATTACATAGAAAATGAGGAAATTCAGGAATTGAAAGCACTTGAGATATGTTATTTGAACACATAGCATAGAGGTCTGGTTGCGAGTGAGACAAAAGCAGCTGGCCCGAGTTTAAACCGAATGAGAAGATGAAATGAATCTTTCACTCATTTTGTCCCCTTCAAAGACAGTATGTCAATTTGACATACAATATATGACTTTTGGTCCATATATGTGATGCGATGATGTGTAGTAGAGAATATGAGCAGTATGCCATTCTGCATCGTACTACTAGATTATAGGTATGCAAGCATGTAGAGGAATGATGGAGTCCATAGTATTACCAGGGTATGCGTTGATGACCGTGTTGATGAGATTGAGCAAGCACAGACAAGTGCATTCAGTGAGTGGACGACCAAAATCAACCTGGTGTAATACATCAATGTTGTACATACAAAAATAGCAGAAAATCACAGCAGGAGGACACTGTAACAACCAAGCGAAACGGCCCAGAAACGGGCCTGGGAAACGCGTTTTCGAGCTGGTCAATTGAGTAGGCGACCAAAATCAACATGTAGCAATGTGTCTATATAGTACGTACAAAAATAGCAGAAAATCACAGGAGTAGAACACTGCAACAATCAAGCGAAACGGCCCAGAAACAGGGTCGAAAAGCGCGTTTTCGAGCTGATCAAGTGTCAGGGGTCCTGGGCACAAAACACCTACGTGGGACCTCCCAGCCCATTTTTTCGGGCCCGCCTTCGGCGGGCGGGAATTCCCATATATATGGCCTCTGGGACGTCCCAAGCATAAAAAAACGAAAGGACATGGGACATCCCATCGGATGGGAATACCTACCAGGAAACACCCTCTTAGGCCAGTTAAGTCCATAAAAAGTCAGGCCTAAGAGGGGGGTCTAGGGGGGTGCCCGAAGTGGGAAATGACCCACCATGTCTTTGAGAAGATTGTCAATGCAACCATTTGCTGCTGCCAGCAGTTCGTCCCAGATTGAGTCGCTGAAGTCGAGAATATATCCGGTTGGAATCTTCTGTACTGGCCAGCAAGTTGGAATTTGATTGTCGAGATATTTGAGCTGATGTACGCGAGTTGATTTGTGAGTTGTGAATTGGTGGGCGATGACGCAGACCTGCAATGAAATGCCGGGGTCAAGCCACTGAGTATCCGAGAAGCTCCATCGGATCTAAATCAATTGGTTAATTTGCCAGAGTCAGCGAATTGGAAGGGCAGAATGTCAAAGGAAGGAGGCTCTGTCTTGATGATCAGGATACCGCAAAAAAAAACAGCCAAGTGGTCACAATGGAGAATTTGATTACGTACCACGTCTGTAGACTACAAACTTTTTTTCAGGTAGTTCCGTAGCGCATCGGGATCAATCCAGGAAGTCTGGACCAACTTGGAAGGGTTCGAAGTAGCAAATCCATCACCATACAGCTGAAGAACACGTCAAGGGCGACGGATTAGGGAAGAAATGAGCAGCTCACATGGTCACAGAACCCCATGAGCTGCTGCAACGACAGCCTGTCAATGAGAGCTATGTCACCGGCAGCATCCGACGGTGTTGACACCATCATGGGGGATGAGATGCAGAGAAAAGGGTGCCATGCTCAACGGCGTACGTAACTGCCCAAATTGGGTATGTGTCGCCTTCAAGCACCCAACACATTCCCTCAGAATGTGCCTTGCATTGGTCCATGTGTCAGCTTTCGAACAATGTGCCATCTGTCCCAATTTGGTGTGTCATGTCGCTTGTTGTATATACTCGTTGGGCTTAATGAGGGCTCAGGGGTACAGCCAAAAAATTGAGCACTTTACTCAAACCATTTAGAGACCGGTGTTTATAAACAAGTTTACAAACTTGATCAATGAAAATTCAATGGCACCTATACTGTCAAGGTGGCCAGAGATCTCCTTGACTTGTTGGAAAGCAGTGGTAGTTCTATTGGTTGCCATTGGCAGTGATATCTAGCAATAGAGGAATGGATAATAAAAGAAAGAAGACAAGAACCAAGAGCATGTGATTGATCAGAACTGGTGATGGTGGCTGTGCTTAGGTGTAGGCCTACCCCTAAGCACAGCCACTCAAGGCATTCAGAGAAGCCATCGTGGGAAAGGCCTACACCTTTTGGTAAGCATTTCCCGTGAACACTTCTCTTTCTTCAAAGCCTTGCTTGCTGCCTCCTATGCTAGACAATCACTCCTCTGCAGCTGTTGCTCAAGAGTATGTTATCACACTATTAAAATCTTCATGTGCTGCATGAAGCTGTTGACCTGCTCAAAAAAATCATCCCTTTTCAGAAGACAAATCAACAATAGAAATTCAGAGATAGCAAAAGGTATATTGTCTAACATAGATGACATGTTCTATTTTGCTATGGTAAACAGCCTGGAATGGGCCCCTGCTGGGAAAACCTTAGATATATGGTCTGACAAGCTAATATTCTGAGCAATCAGCTCTGGGCCACTGTCTGCAGTGTTGAGCCCAAGCTGTACAAGGATAGAATGCAGTTGGAATGCTGTTTGTGCCTCCTGAGCATCCTTGCACTTAATCACAATAGGAACAGCAGAGTTGAGACGACGATCTAGAGAGGGACTAGAAGTGACATCAATACGGCCCATCAAGCTGACAGCACACTCACTAGTGTGTTGTGACCCCATAATTGGTGCCTCCTAGAACTGTATAACGTCCAACTTTGGTTGTGGTAGCTGACATGAGGAAACAAGATGCATAACATTCTCGCGTCACAAGTGTCAAGTGACCATAATCTAATGAATCTTAGATATCAGATCAGGATTCTGACAATGGGGAATCCTAGCAGAAATTGCCTTCTTTGGTAGGTGTTTTATTGCCTCTTTGAGTTGTTTGGTCTTTCTATTTTCCTATTATTTCCGGACCCCGGAAATAGTAATTTTCCGGACCCCGGAAATAATAGAAATATTCTACGGAAATGATAGGAATATATACTATTTCCGGACCCCGGAAATGATGGGAAAATGATAGGAACATTTTATATTTCCGGACTATTTCCGGGGTCCGGAAATAATAGGATTATTTCAGGATTATTTTATATTTCCGGCCTATTTCCGGGACATTTCCGGGGCCCGGAAATAGTGGCTTGCCCCCAGTGTAACGGCGCCCCCAACTCCCGGCCTGACCATCATCCTTCGACTTCTGTCGCGCCCATTCGAGTGGGTTTCTTTCATTTTTCTGACCAACATCTCATTTATTTTCGTTACTTTCAGCCGATTCCCTTTGGTCGCGAACGTGATTCTCGCGGAGAACAGGGACTACCTGCCGCCCGGGGTGACCGCGGTGACGATGATCATACAAGTGGGTGGGTCAGGCGATGTTGTCGCCCAACGCGACTCGCTGCGCCCCTCTTTGGCTGTTCATGCGGGTGACTATTCGTCGAACATCGCTAACACCACCCAACAGAGGAATGGTGTTCCTCGTTCATGTGTTTGATGAATACCGGATGTTTGGTGGGTTTCGGTCTTTTTCGTTCCCCGCGGATTCGCTAATCGACACCAGCGTACGAGGAAAATCAGCACCCCTACTCCTTCTTCTTCCCCGTGTTCGTTTACCCGCAGTTCTGTGTTTGGCGAAGAGGCGAGTGGATTGGGTGGATGTGAATATGACGCACGACGGATCGCAACGGACAACCAAGTTGTACATAACAGTTGGTGATTTTCTTCTTGACTTCGACTCCGAAATCTCTCTTGGACTATACGATACGACACACTCCTCAGCTACCTACGGACTCTCGACTGTACCCCTGGTCAATCCATTTAACTTAGGTGAATTTTTCTACGCTACGATACGTATCCTCGGCACGGCCCTTCTACTTCTTACCACTATCTCGACAATATTTTTCTTACATCTTTACGACTTCTTCCAATATTCTCAACGAATATTGCTAGTCGTATTCCTACGGACCTTGTTATGGTGGTTACAACTCGCACACTACCTAGTCCACGAATGGAACCAGATTTCATTGCTGTATCACCATTGAACCACCAAGAGTTGTAGTGATAATACAATACGCCCAGTAACTACTGAATACCATGTTGCATTTCCCCCAGTAATAGCTGGCCAGTAAATAATAGCCACAATGCAATGTTGCAGTGAATTGATGGCAAAGCCAGGGAGGTTGTGATAAGCTGTCAGGCGCCGCCTGCCGCTTTGATTATTGATGATAATTTCCTTATCAGGTGAGGGATTGATGTGCAAACAAATATTCATTGATTTCCATTGTGGCCGAGCAAAGTTCAACAATTTGATATCCGCATATAGGTAGATCCAGATGCCAACAGATGCGATGGGCTGGATCAACGGAATTCGCCGCATCTCGGGCTTGTGGGTCTCGACCTCGGAATTCCCAGCAGCCGGCGATCTCGGGCTTCTCGACCAAAGCCCAAGATATCCATTTATTATGATTTTTAAGTATATTTATTGAGGGACGTAATACGTATGACATGACGGGACGGGGTCAAT